TTACAATTGTCACAGCAGCATAGAAGTGGGGACACCTATCACTAAAACCGGCAATAAAATAGGGTCAGGCGGAGCAGTTCTCATCAAGCCGTTCCCCTCCTTTGCTTTGTGCCATCCTCGAGACGCCTGCTCTAAGCCTGAATTACTCCTCCCCTCTTCCCACCCAGAGCAGCACCGCTTTGCCTGGAGCTGCTGCCCCAGTCTCACCAGCTGCAGCTCCTCTGGGGTTCACCCCGTGGGCTTTTGGAGCTGGCTCTGTCTGCTCTCAAGCACCACTTAATCTTGCTTATACACTTTACATTAGTCAGTCACTGCACACAGAGGCAATAATGCAGGCAGCTGCTGTCTTTCCTTCCCTCACGAGTGTGCTCTTCATGCTGGGCTTAGGGATTAGGCTTCCCTTCTACCTCCTGTAGGCTTTTTGGCCGTGGATTCCAAGGGATGGTGGTGGTGGTTTCTCCACCCAACGCGGCCAAGTGTTGGAAGACTGGGCACAGCCCCGAGTGTTGGAAATGCGGGCTTGAAACCCCTCCGGCTGAGGAAGGAGGTGAACCAAGCTCTCCTGCCTTCTGGGTGTGTGCCCTGAGGACTTGGCTGCACTGGAAAGAGAGAAAAAGCAAAATCTTTGCAATGCTCTGTTAGACACCAACCCCAAAAGAGGCCTTGGCACTACAGATCTTTATCTAGCGAAGAATGTTTAAATGTGCACCCAGCTCAGGTGCCTGAACGCCATTCTGGATGCATTCTGCATCTCAATGTCTCACTCAGCAGAAGAATAAGCCTTTGGTAGTACAGAGTGAAACACCCATGCTGGGGAGCCTCCCTCAGGTGACAGCACAAACCTACCAAACCCATCACATGGAAGCTGCTTAGCCATCCCTCCTTCCAAAACCACAGGCATATTGCTCTGCGCCCTGAGACAGCAGAGGACAACAGCCATACATGAGCAAGTTGTCCAGATGGTGAGAAACTGTCACCTCTTTTAATGACACCCAACAGCTTGTCAAGATCTTGCAACCAGGTAACACGTTGTTAAGAACATGTAGGTGAGATTTAAAGCAGATATACTGTCAACATGACAAGACCACAGATAGCTGATTGTGGTCTAAAATAAATGATTACATCTAAAAATGCTGAGCAGACTGCTGGCTGCTACTGTGAAGATTAAACTAAATATAAGGGTCTAGGTGGCGTTTGCACCAGCTCTGCACTCCAGTAAAATTGAGCAATACAGGTGACGATAAGGGGCGGAGCTTGTTCTGTTGTGATGTACGTTTTTCTAAGGAAAAAAAAGTCAGGTTTTCTGACCTGACCCCATCCTGAGGTAACTATGTATCATTCACTGGAAATATACTTAGGATAGTTTTGATAAATCAGTTATAACTTGAATGACAATATCAATGCAAGGAACACAAAGCTCCTCATTTAATTAAGTGAGATAGAAATCAGACTCCTTGCTGTTGGCAAGAATTGCACTGATAGCCATCGCCGTCAGCTGATGAGCTCAGTGACAGCAACCATGTGAACAACACATAAAGCCTGCATGTGTCAACCACAGGCTCTGACTGTCCTACGGAGCTTCTCCGTGTTTCTAAGAATTTGCGATTACTAGCTTAGAAATAACTGTATTATTCATTTTAAATAAAACACTAACAGTGGTGAGTCTAAAGCTGAAATTGGGGCTTGCAGATGCCTCAGAAGAAGCAGAGGTTCTCTGTGGGTCGCCTCGTCAAAACCGGAAAATCCCACTATGGGTGGCATTTCCCCTCTGTCTCCAAGACCTCTTGTGATATTCAGACTTCGTTACTATTTTGTAACTCTGATTTCCATCAGGGAGGAGAGTCCACTGCTGTGAGAGGAGCTGTATTAACATCAGGCAGCAACTGCTTGTAGAAGAAGCAATGGATTTTTCTCAAAAAGGCCAGGTGGCCTTCACATTAAAATAGATGCAGAAAAACAGAGGTTGTTCATTTCCCACCTCCAAGGCAGAATTAAACACTTGGCTCAAATGTGACCCAAATTGGTCTAACCTGCTCTTAAAAGCCTTTTAATATCTGAGATAAATAACCTTTGCTGCAAGGTAAGATGATTATTTTTTTTCTTCCTATGTCAAATAAAGTACAGCTTTCTGTAAAAATCATTTATGTATTTGAAGACTATTGTTTCCTTCAGTGTTTTATTTTTTCCCTTTCCTGACTAACCAAACACAATTCCTTCAGCTTCCTCTAATAATTCAGATTTTCTAAACACCAGTTATTTAAAATGTCTCTGTACTGACTGCAAACTTTGTAAGGCATGGTCCCCAAAAGCAGATATGACATTTACCTAGGATCTCAAATGTACCAAGTGCAGGAGGGTGACTCATTCTTCTGCCTTTCGTGAAACTGCCCCGTCACCATATCCCACACAGGTATTTGTCTGGTTTTGTAACAGCATGACAGTACTCACAGCTTTTTGGCCTGTGGTCCATCTTGTCTGGCCATTATTTCTCAGTTTGTTCACTGAATGTTTCCTTCCTGAGGCATGGTACGTCCCTCTCGATGGTTTCTGTATCTCTTGTTGATTTCAGACAACTCCCTGTCATTTGGATGTCAAATCCCATCTTCCAAAATAATGCCAACTCTTCCTACACAGGAGCTGTTCACTAATTGTTCAGTATGCTCTCTAGCCTGCCATCAAAGTTGTTAATTAAAATTTTGTATAGAAACAGATGTAGGGTGGGTCCCAAGAGCAGCCCCTTTGAAATGTGTCCTGGTTGGACAGTGAACCACTGATTCATTTTGAGAATGATTATTTTCCATATTCTTAGTTCCATTTGCTTATTTTACTTGCAACAATGACACGAGAATCAAGATATATCATGTCTTCTCCTGCTACCCTGTCTATTGGGATGATTACCCTGTCAAAGACAGAAAACAGATTGGCTCGCTCCTGACAAATACATGTTGGCTGTTTCCCATTACATTAGTATTCTGTAGGTTTAAATAATTTATCCTATTTAAATTAGATTATTTAAATTATTTATTCTAGTATCCTTGCATAAATCTAAGTTAGGCTGGCTTCCTCTTGATGTCCTTTCTCTCTCTTTTGGAAACAAGTATTATGTTTGCTTTTCTTCACTTGCTGGAGATCTAAAAGATAGTCTGTTAGTTCACAGTAGTTTAAGATTAATTTCATTATTTCCTAACAATTTGTGCAACCTAATTTATCTAGACATTATTTGCTTTTTATACTCTGAACTCCTGTCCTCTGTTTAAAACTCTACTAAATTGTTGATGACTACTATTAGCTTTTTGTAAAGGCCAAGGAAAAATGCAACTTCCCCTGTTACTCGGTCTTCTTTTCTTTTTTGTTTTCCTCTTGCCTTCTATGTACTTATAAAATTTTATCCTAGTTCTAATTCATGTTATGCTGTAGTCATCCTGACTTTGGTTCTTCACATCATCCCTTGTAATTATTGGTAGTCATGTTTTTTGATGATTTCTTTTCCATTTCTATGGCATTAAAGAGTTCCTGTCGCTGTCATGCCAGACCTTGCTATACTCTGCTTTCCACTGGGACAGATTGCTTGTTGTGCCTTTAACACTGCTTCTTTTAGGAAATGTAATTTTCTGACCGCAGTGCCTTTTTGTTGGAAGAAGTTAAAAAACTCTTAGAATGTAATCCTGATTGATCCTTAGGAAAAAGAATTTAGGAGAACTGGTAGGTAGTGATGATATACCTATCACAGATCATAGAATGGTTTGGGTTGAAAGGGTCCTTAAAGATCATTTAGTCCAACCCCCCTGCCATGGGCAGGGACACGTTCCACCAGACCAGGTTGCTCAAAGCCCCATCCAGCCTGGCCTTGAACACTGCCAGGGAGGGGGCAGCCACAGCTTCTCTGAGCAACCTGTGCCAGTGTCTCACCACCCTCACAGTGAAGAACTTCTTCCTAATATCTAATCTAAATCTCCCCTCTTTCAGTTTAAATTTGTTACCCCTTGTCCTATCACTGCACTCCCTGATCAAGAGTCCTTCCCCATCTTTCCTGTAGGCCCCCTTTAGGTACTGGAAGGCTGATATAGGGTCTCCCCAGAGCCTTCTCTTCTCCAGGCTGAACACCCCCAACTCTTTCAGCCTGTCCTCACAGGGGAGGTGCTCCAGCCCCCTGATCATCTTCGTGGCCCTCCTCTGGACCCACTCCAACAGGTCCATGTCCTTCTTCTGCTGGGGGCTCCAGAGCTGGACACTGTACTGCAGGTGGGGTCTCACCAGACCAGAGTAGGGGAGAGAATCACCTCCCTTGACCTGCTGGCCATGCTTCTCTCGATGCAGCTCAGGATGGCTTTCTGGGCTGTGAGCGCACATTGCAGGATCACATTGAGCTTCTCATCCACCAGCACCCCCAAGTCCTTCTCCGCAGGGCTGCTCTCAATCCACTCATTGCCCACCCTGTATTTGTGCTTGGGCTTGCCCCGACCCAGATGCAGGACTTTGCACTTGGCCTTGTTGAACTTCATGAGGTTTGCACGGGCCCAGCTCTCCAGCCTGTCCAGGTCCCTCTGGATGGCCTCCCTTCCCTCCAGTGTGTTGACCGCACCACACAGCTTGGTGTCATTGGGAAACTTGCTGTCTGTGTCGCTGACAGAGATGTTAAACAGTGCTGGTCCCAATACTGAACCCTGAGGAACTCCACTCATCACTGGTCTCCACTCGGTCATCGAGCCATTGACCGCAACATTTTAGGTGCAATCATCCAGCCAATTTCTTATCCACTGAGTAGTCCATCCATAAAATTCATGTCTCTCCAGTTTAGAGACAAGGATGTTTTTCAGGACAGTGTCACATGCTTTGCAGAATTCCAGGTAGATAACATCAGTTGCTCTTCCCTTATCCACCAACACTGTAATCCCATCGTAGAAGGCCACCAAGTTTATCAGGCACAATTTGCCCTTAGTGAAGCCATGTTGGCTGTCACCAACCACCTCCTTATTTTCCATATGTCTTAGCATAGCTTCCAGGAGGATCTGCTCCATGGTCACCATTCTTCACAAGCACAAAAATTATTTGCGTTGGCTGACAAACCATGGAGCATGGCAGCAAAAAACTGCTTGGAAAGGTGCAGAAGGATTTAATACTGAGCTTCCAATACACTCAGTGTTCCTAAGCAAGTTGTGTGGTATCCTCTTCCTCATTGAGTCAACGTTTCAAATTACTGTCATCTGGTAAGGCACAAACAATGCTCTCTTCTCCTGTTTTGCACATCTTTGCTCAGTTGTGCTTGGACTAGAATAAAACTCAGCTCACATCTGTGTAACATCCATTTTTCAGTTTTTTACTGAGTTTGCAATAATGTACATTTCTTGTGCTAATATAGATTTACTTGGTCTATACAACCCAAAATAGTCTGTTGGTCACTGAAGAAAACCTAAGCCTAGAAGAGACTGCAATGGCAGCCTTAGTGGGTTAGACTCTTCAAATGTCTGGCCTGTAGACACTGGCAGCATGCAGAACTTACCAGCGATGGACAGGACAGCGTCGAAGCACTCACTTCGATAAGGCAGACACAAGCTATGGCATACCATTACTTCATGGCCTTCATTTCGTGCTGATTCCACCAACGGGAAACAGTAGTCGCAACCCAGTTTATAGACTTGAGAATTGATGTGAAGGTATTTGCCATTTCCACAGCCTGAAGAAATATTGAGGGGGAGAAACAAAGGCAGACATTCGGTGTTTGTACAAAAGAAAATGTATTCCTGACATAAGCCATGATGTACGCCCTTGGCTGGCCTAATAGCTTGAAATTCACCCATTTTAAAGGAGATACAATTGCAGTGGAATTCAGGTTATTTTTTACCATCACAGTACAATGAGCACAGACTGCTCCTTTCTGTCTAGCGGGCTCTTTGCTGCGTGACAGGAGGTGTTCAAGTGGGATAGCTAGAGAGCACTTACCTTGGCCTTCCCACCGCATACGGAATCAAAAATATTTATGGTAACGATGCTACTGCAATTCTGCTTGTAACAGACTCAAAATGCTAAGTGAAAGCATCATGCAGTGGGAGCACAGCACTGAATTATTCCTGTGTATTGAAATGCTGATAGACAAACTAGGCTGCTAAGAAATTAAGTCACTATTAGACGAAACCATTAAATCCATTGTTTGCTGTTTTAACTGCTGCTAATTGCAGTCACCATGACAACAGTGGAGTTTCTTTTTCTGGTGTCTCCACGCAGCTTCCTTTTCATAATGGAGCCTTCGACAGGGAAATTTACATCTTCCCAAACTGAAATACTTCTTCTGTTGAAATAAAGGCAGACATCTTTAGATAAGGATGATTTTAATATCAGCAGTAAAACGGATCTTATCTAAATTTTTGATCATTTGTTTGCAGAATTATCTGGATCTTAACAAAGCACATTTTAAAGTAGATTACCAAATTTAAAAACTTGCCTTCTCACTTGCATCATAAAAATCATAGTTAAGATTAAGATCAGGGAGGTAAATGCATTGTGTAGCATAATACCCTGTACCTTGTGCAGCCTTAGTTTACATCCTGTTTATGGTTATGCTTACATCAAACATTAAGCTTGGGTCAGAGCCCAGATTTTCTCTCATGCATTTAAAAAAAAAAATTATAGTTATTTTGGAACCTTCCAAATATTTAAGTCCCTATATTTAGGTCACAGCCATCCCATAGCACCTATTCTGAAACCCTGTGTGGGTCCCTAAGTTCAGTAAGGAGCCTTCCAGCCCCATCAATCTGTTATGCCATTTGAATGGGAGATGAATCATTGCTGAGCTGCAGATAGAAGTCTGCTCCTAACTGCTTGTCTAATATTAACTGCTGATCCCATCTCCCAGGAACTGAATCACAGAATCACAGAACGTTAGGGGTTGGAAGGGACCTCGAAAGATCATCTAGCATAACTCCCCTGCCAGAGCAGAACCACCTAGAAATCAAGAGAAAATTTGGAGATCTCTCAGTCCTTCCCATGCCTGACTTCGGCACCAGGTGAGGTGCTGTGAAATGGTGCCAGCACTTGGCTAATATTAGATTCTATTTCCCAAGGAGAAAGAGGAGAAAGAGGGCTGCCCTGGAGCTCTGACTGAGAGAGAACTCCAGGACTTCTGTTTTCACTTTTGGAGGGAAAGGCTCCTGTATAAGCCAAACAACAGCTACTAAATACATTTCCTCTAATCTGACACCAGGGGCTGCTTCCCAGTGATGGAAGGCCAGAGAACAGCCCTGCAGGTAGACTCCTCTCCAGCACCGTGGCACCACTCTTGGCAACTATGTTTCACACAAAACCCGTCTCTGGCCATGGACACCACAAGAGCCTGTCAGCAACCCCTGCAGGCCAAAGCCCAGGAGCCAAGCCTGATCTTAAATTACAGCATTAACGAAGTCCAAAGTCTGTGACATCGGTAAAAATTCAATGTGCTGGTTCTTTGTATGCATTTTATTTGTTCACATTGAAAACACTGCAAAATCTGCCAAGATCTGCAATACAGTTCCCAGCACTTAGACTATGATAAACTGGGAAAAGTAGATGGTTAAGTTTGAATGACATACAAAAAGTTATGTGATTAGCCCAACCCTCTGTATTTTTTCTCCTTCAGAAACTTTCCCATGCTATAATGGGGAGGCTACACATACGTGTTGCTGGAAAGGATTACAGGTCCAAAAAGCTATTTAGAAATCTAGCCTAAACAGATAGAAATGATGAGTTACACCCAAACCTCATCTGGGCAACCAGCACATATCCACTTCTGGTGTAGGTGCTGAAGCAGTACAGAGGCTTCCCTTGTACCATTTAGGCATTCTCAGATCTTTGGGGAATTAAAAACTGTCACACATTGTTCCTCAAAGACTCAGGACAGTGCATGATACTTGCTTCAAACTGGCCACACACAATGCATGTTATAAGAGCTAAATAAGATTTCAAATTCCAGAATTATCATACCAACACACAACATTAGCACCCACCACCAACATCTTAATAAATAGGTTCAGTTTAGTGCTTCAGTTTAGTCAACCTACTGGATACTGGGAAAAGTCAAATTGTGTTCATATACCTATGAATGGTGGAGCAAAGCAGGAGGCAAATTTAAACATTAGTCTGGCCATTTTGATTCCCTAGTTTGATTCACAAGCTCCAAACTCTTCTGCGACAAATACTGCTTGATAGAAAGAGAAGATATAGACCGTCATTAGCAATGTGATAATAAATGCCACTCACCAATATCAGCAATCAGGCTGCCTGGTTCCTGCTGTGAAATAAACTGCTGCACCTTTGGCCATGCCTTGTAGCGTGTGTCGTTGAAGTAAGGAGCAATTTTCTCATATACACTATGAACGTGGTCCCTCTCAAGTTGGCTTGCCTCCTTCTCCATCACAGCCAAGGCTAGGCTAACTCACTGAAGGCAGTGCAACTGCCCTAGAGAAAGGGAAGGGAGAAAAACAAGCTCTGAAACTCTTGCTACCAAAGTACATTTCCTTAAGTTAAGCAGTATGACATTGTTTATTTAGGAAATAGTGTTTCCAAATACTATGTTGCCATTAAAGAGAAATTGCTGAGGCTTTTAAAGGAAGAAAGGTCACCTGTTCTATGATTTTATACAATGTATTGTTTTCTTATATAATCTGAAAGGAATTTTATGACCTACTGACATTTATTAACTTGCTTATACCGTTGCACTTTAGAAGCTGTTAACTTTTGCTGCATAAAGTCTTCCACCCTTTTCCAGTCTACCCATGAAAAAGATATTTTCTAAGAAGTCCTTTTTTTATAGTTGCATCTTAAAAAAAACAGCTATTGAAAATGATGATGAATATCAAAAGATGCTCAGAGTTTGAAGCAAAAGCTCTGAGAGGCTTCATTTCTCCTCCACTTCATTCAGCACCCAGAAAGATCCATGCTTACAGACTTCCCACTGCACAATTCATTGACACTGTGTGTTACTGTGAACAAAAATCTTTCAAGCTTTCCATCCTTGCTTTCAGCTGTTCTGGATTGGCATGGTGCACGGGTATTAGCAATGCCCCCAGGAAAACCCTGCAATATTGTGAATAGCCTATTGCATCCTAAGTCATTGTTCAGTTCACCATGAGGCTTTGTACAGAAAGACTGTAAAAATTGTGAACTTCATTGAACATATGCTGGCCATGCCAGGATTTCCATTGATTTATTGAAAATCTGGGCCACCAAGACAGGCTGCTCCAGCTCCACTCACATGCTGCAAACAACTCCATGCAGAATAACTCCTCCTCTGAGGCAAATGTATCGATGACAGCACCTCACCCAAGATCTCTGCCCTGCAGGCTGGCCTTTAATTTGATTCCTAATACAGTCCTTATCTGCTCCTTATTTTCAAATCCATAAGCATTTAAAATTCTATCAACTCAAAAGACTATCATTCTGTGATTTCCTACGCAATTATAAAGAGAAAAACTGGAGCAGACTAAGCCCAAATTCGATCCTGCAGTAACAGCAAGAAACTAACTCTGGAGCGGTTTTGGTTATGTCATTTATTAATCTGAAAAACTGTGCTAGGTTTAAATCCTATAGCCTTTGGTGTCTTCTGTCACATCAGATAATCACACAGCGTCACTGGGAAATCGCCCAGACCGCAAATTTCCTAAATATCCTGTCTAGATCAAAGTGATGACAAGTATTGGAGTGTGGTGAAGAAATTCTTTGGAAGGTCATTGCTGTTCCCTACATCATATGTGTTGCTAAATAATAGCCACTTTAGAAACACAGATAATAATAATAATAATAAAAAAGACAGCTAATGTGAGTTGCCTTGGTTTAGTCTCTTCTGCACTGCAATGCATATCTTCGTAGCTTCTAGTGAGATTTAAAGCCATAACCTTGCAAGCACTTACACAGGTGCTTAACTCTGTGTGTGCAAACAATATCCCTGACTGAATCCAGTTGGGATATTCCAGGCACAGAGTTCACCACATGCATCAGTTGTACAAGACTGGCTCTTCAAGGCAGAAGGATTTTTTTATTGTTCTTCATTATAACTAAACTCTGCTGTAGAAGCTAGTTTTTAAAAAATACTTCAGAAAAACCCTGTTTGAAACAGCTGAAGTGCTCTACTGGGGATCATTTCAAGAGGAAGCTGATGTACTATCAAATATACAGGGAAAGGCAGAAGGCGGCGAGAGGAGGAGAGGGAAATTGTTCTTTGGAAAAGCTGCAACATCATTTCAAAGCATTGCTATTGCTTCATTTGACAAGAGGAAATAATAACTGGTGAACTGATGTAAGATCACAGGAGTGAAGAGAACAGAGCTGTTTCTGTTTAACTCTAGGCTTACACTCAGGACAGCTCGCTTAGGCAGAGGGACAGCCTGGAAGTTGCTACCAGCTTGAGACAATTACCAGGAAAAGAAGGAAGGTGCATATGAAAGCATCTAGTAAGAGAAACCACATAATAAGACACCATTTCAAACAAATGCAAAAAAGTGTTTAAATGCAAAAAAACCCACCATCATTTGTGTGTAAAACATTCTCTCCTCTGGAACAGGAGCAAAAAAAGATATAATGGGGCTATGATTAAGTCCCACCTAGAATTAAGGAAGATATAGCAACTTTTGTTTTAAAACGGTAGGTCCAAGAGTGGGGGCAACAGTCTGCACCGTCTGAAATTTAGAAGTCCAAACCTGCAAGGCACTATTAAAATAAATTTTCTATAAGCTTCTTATAAGAAAGTAACCCTTTGTGGGGGAGGCTGGAGGCAGAGACCAGTCAGGTGGGTCCCCAGCAACCACCAGCAGTCATGCTATGGACATTTCTGCCTAGAGGAGTACAAGAAGCACCCATCTGCTACACTTAACAAGCCATAAACCACAAAATGATTGTCAACACTCCATTTAATGCTTTTAGTACAACAGACTGGAAACTGTGTAAAATACAGTGTGCCAGAGGAAGAGAGCAGAGAGATGTTCGAGGGCACAGCCACTAAATTTACTAAGTAAAAATGTTCAGACAATCCTAGGAAGCTGGATTTTTTGCAGAAGCAAGAAAAAAAAACAAAATCAAAAAGCAAACAGGGATGCCCACCAATCTAGCCTGGAGGAAAATAATTTCTGGAGGATTGACAGGTTCAAACATATGATTTATACATGCCAATCTAAACCTCAAAGACTTTCCAGTTTCTCCATCATACCCAACATCCTTTCTCTAGTCACAGGGAAAGCCAGAAAATAACTTAGAAATCAAGCTATGCATCAGGAAAAAAAACATATTCCGCCCAACACAAAATTGGATATTTAGTGCTGCAAATGTCACACAATGGCATTTTAGATTGGTGTTGTTCACTTATTTGCATAACAAAGGCTTTGGGGAATGCAGATATTTTCTTTTGAGCACAATCACCCCTACCTTTATGCAAATTAAAATTAAAGTAAATCTATTCGTATGGGGATGGCAGGACAGCAAAATGAAGAGCTACAGAGCAGCAGTTCAGCCTGACTGCCTGTCACCTAATCTTAAACTAAATTTGACACAACTTGATTGAAAGTGAAATTAAATTTGAGTTTAAAAGCCATTAAAAAACTTCTGAGTTCATAAGTGATTACTAACTTCCTGAACACTGTGAAGCCTCTCTTTGTGCAGGATGCGAGCCTCGTGTAGGCTGTGCCCCATGCTTCGGGGAGCCCTGACACCCCACAGCATCGCTCCCCAGGGGGTACCACAGGCAGCACCACAGGCAGCTCGTGGAGGGGGCTCTGGGTCCTGCACCTAGAGCAGAGCTCATCCTCTGGCTGTGGCGTGATGGCTTCTGCTGTGTTCAGAGTGCCTTTAATTTATCTTTGAATTTAAAAAGAAATTGTTAGGGAGGAAAACAGGCTTTCTAATTCAAAATAATTTAATTCTTTGAGTAATACCCAATGATGTCAACTCAGCTTCTCTGTGGTTCAACTTAATAGGAGAGAATAAACTGAACTGTAATAAGCTTGCTTTTGACAGGCAGAGTCTTCTAGAAGGACGTGTCATCAGAGAGCTCCCAGATGCAATGAGTAAATCCTGATTTAAAAAAATGCCTATTCTTTCCCTCTGCCCTGGAGCACTTGCAGATGTGGAGGCAGCCGCAGGACCAGGCTGCCTGGGGCTGTGCAGCGGCTCTCGCCAAGCTGGGCCTGGCGAGCTGAGAGCAGCTCTGCCAAGGCCCCTCCGGAGCCCCGCGCACGCGGGCCATGCCATGGAAGAGCTGGTGGGAGCACAGGAGAGATGGGGCTGGCTCAGAGACGTGTCCCGGCGCTGAAGAGCCCTCCCTGCTGCTGGCCAGAGAGACAAAAATGGAGCTGCCAAGCCGAGATGGGCTTCTTCAGAAACAAGATTAGCTTAAGTCTTGCAGTAATTAGCGCCAGCAAATGACATAACAGCTGGCCTATCATAGCTGAAAGTCCAAACCAACAACTCCAGGAACACACTAATACCTATGAAGGAGATGGCACTGCTCTCCTCCCCTTGGTTAAATGAGTATTTTAGTGACGATACATTTGGAAAGCCTGCTTAATTCTTCTCCCTCTCTGTGCCCCCTGCACCACCATCATCCCCACCTTACTCACAAACATTACATTGTGACTGCATTGAAGTAGCTTTTCTGTGAAGTGCCTAATCTCTGTGTGAAACACAGCAAATAGCTGGACCTTGGTAGGGTCCCTTCAGGGACCTTCAACAAGTTTGTTCTTCCACCAGCAGCAGCAGCCACAACAGGAGTGCTCTGCCAGTCAGACTAAACAATTCCTACCCCTGTGAAGAAGACAAGAAAAGAACAAGAGAGGAAAAACTGTAAAGTCAGCCTTAAAGCCCTTGAATGATGGTTCCCACGAGGCATCAGGATCTGGGGAAGGGCTGATTAATAGAAGGGGAAATGCAATATGGGTCACAGAGGGTCTAGGAGAAAAGAAGAAATGAAAGAAGCTAGATGGGAAAAAAATTATAAAAGTGAATTTTATAAATAATAAAGAGGGAAAATGAAGGGCAAGGAAGGAAATGAAAAGGAGGAGAAAAACACTGAGAAACAGAAGAGAAGATAAAAAAGCAAAGACATGTAGAGAAACTCCAGGTTAGTATTTTAATTAGTCGGCCTTGCTGCATTTTTCCCAGATGCTATCACGCATGGGCATAGCATCACAATTTGACAGTTAATCAGCCATTGGGGATTCCTCACAATGCTGTATTAATACTACCACAGTGCGGTGAAACCTTCCCACAGCCTTCCAGTTCCTGCAGCACATCCTACTGGCCTTAGCCTCACCCTTTTACAGGGCTGAGAGGCAGCAGAGCTGCATCTCTTCCACCTTCCTAAAGCCACCGGCAACCACAACGTAAAGGTTGGTATGTGCCTTTCTGAATTACCCGCATGTTGCAGGT